CCATTTGACTAAAATTATCCAATTACTTAGTTAATATTCAACAGGATTAATAAATTTGAATAAAATAATTTAACTCATAGATGATTGTCTGCTCATCACCAGCTATTTAAAATTAGTATATTAAGTAATTCAGACACTTCTTAGCAAAGGTTCTATGGTTTAATAAAGTCTCATATACCTCAACATGTGCCAACATACTAGGTTATCTTTAATCCAGCTCCTCTTATGATAATAGTTGCCAACTTTCAAACAATTGAAGAGAACAATGAATCAGCTTCAAGTCGGCTCATGTTGTTGTTGTTGTTATGTGCCGTCGAGTCGGCCCGACTCATAGCGACACCTCCTTGGGTTTTCAAGGCAGTATCACTATGGAAGTAGATTGCCCAACCTTCCTTCCGAGGAGTGGCTGGTGGGTTTGAACTGCCAGCCTTCTGGTTAGCAGTCAAATGTCTTAGGCACTATGCTACCAGAGCTCCTAAGTCAGCTCATATGTAAACTTACATTTGTTGTTGTTTGGTGCCATCAGGTCAGTTCTGATTCACAGTGACCCTGTGTACAACAGAATGAAACACTACCCGGTCCGGCACCATCCTCACAGTCAGTATTATGTCTGAGCTCACTGTTGCAGCCACTGTGTCAATCCATCTCATTGAAAGTCTTTCTCTTTTTCTCTGACCTTCTACTTTACCAAGCATGGTGTCCTTCTCCATTGACTGGTCCCTCCTGATAACATGTCCAAAGAACATGAGATGAAATCTTGCTATCCTTGCTACTAAGGAGCCAGTTTTTTTAGAAGTATATCACCAGGTCCTTCTTCCTAGTTTGTCTTTGTCTGGAAGCTCTGCTGAAACCTGTCTATAATAGACCATGGGTGATTCCCTTGGTACTCGAAATACAGGTAGCATAGCTTCCAACATCACAGCAACACACAGGCATCACAGTAAGACAAACTGACAGATGAGTGATGGAAATTTATATAGCTCCCAATTAAAATATGGGCCAATTTCAACTGTGAAGAAAATTAACTATAAGATTGTGTCTCTACTGTTGGAGAAATATGATGCCACAAATAGCAATGAATTAGTTTGTTTAAAAGCCTTTAGCTCCAGGAAGGTCCACAGTTTGGATTTTAGTCTTAAATGATGTAGGCTGCTTTAAGATTTGATTTGATTTTTTTAAAGAAAAAGATTAAGAAATGCCTTGTCTCTAATTCATAATATGAATATTTGAGAAGCTTCATATTGCTGGAGAAATAATTATAAGAATTATTTTGATAAAGGCTTATTACAAAAAAGGCTTCAGAAGATGCAAATAAAAAGGCACAGGGGGAAAAGCAGGGAGGCAGGAATTAACAGGCAGCAAGGACACAGAGAAAGGGTAACCACAGGGAGGAAAAGGGAGGAGAGCTGTTACACCACAGGCAATGTAACCAGTGTCACAAAACAAAGAGTGTATGAACTGTTGAATGTAAATGAATTTGCTTTGTAAAATTTTACCCAAATCACTTTTTATTGTGTAAAATGTAAAAAACAAAAACAAAAGGCAATATTTATACAAGATTTAAAAAGCAGATAGAAAACAACAAATGTCTCACTTTAAGCCAGGAGCATTTTATGAATGAGGGCTTGACACATAGGACAATGTGATAGTGTTAGGCCTTCCTTCTAAGAATGAAAGTAGTATATTGAATTTTAATAAACACTGCACAAAACATTTTGTGTTGGATCCCTTATTTGGACTAGTGATTCTACAGAAACCCCTGAAATTCTTCTATTTCCAAAATAAGTACTGATCTATTTGGCAAAAATTGATGGTGGTTTTTAAAAGGAAAAATTAAGCTACAATATAAAAGCAGAGAATCTGGTCAGAATACTTCATTTATTCCTGTATGTTAATCAGAACTGAAAATTATTCACTGAGGTGGAGCTCTCAGAGTGGAAAGGAAAACTCTTTTTTCACTAAAACAAAACAAAACAAAAAAACAAACTCATTGCTGTTGAGTCGATTTCGACTCACTGCAACCCCTCCTTGGGTTTCTATAAAGGAAAGAGCAAAGCGGATGTCTGTCCTTAGGGGATTGTGTATTAATTGTCACCATCAATGGGGTGAAATGAATGCAATAGACAATCCTTTGACTCCAATTCCTGAATTCATATATATCAAAAGTTGGACAATGAATAAGGAAGACCAAAGAAGAATTGATGCTTTTGAATTACGGTGTTGGTGAAGAATGCGGATTATATCATGGACTGCCAGAAGAAGGAACAAATCTGTTTTGGAAGAAGGATAGCCAGAAGGCTCCTTAGAAGTGAGGATGGGGAGACTTCTCACATACTTTGGCTATGTTATCAGGAGGGACCAGTCCCTAGAGAAGGAAATTATACCTGGGAAAGTAGAAGGTCAGCAAAAAAAGAAGATTCTTAACGAGATGCATAGACACAGTAGTTACAATAATGGGCTCAAACGTATTAATGATTGTGAAGATGGTGCAAGATTGGGCAATGTTTTGTTCTGTTATTCATTAAGTGTGGTTGCTATGAGTTGGAACCAATTCAATAGTACCTAATAACGATTCTGATGAATTTCCTAAGACTATGCAATGATCACTTTATTACCCATGTTAATCTCCTATTTATTTTCCCCATAGGATACCTGAAATTTTCTTAGTCAACTGCTATATAGATGAGTTATACCATATTGGCTTCCTGCTACAGTTTTTCAATAGATTTTAGTTATAATCTAAGTATGAAATTAATTATATACCAGCTTCTTCCTTTACTGCATAGACACATACAGACTTAATAATAATAATATTAGTAATTCTGGACAATGCTAACTAGCTAGATTCATGCTCTACATTTCCAGTGATTCATAGCACTTGAAAACTGAAATTGGGGATGGATGCATGTAAAAGGAGATTGTCTTCTCCAGGCATCTCCAATATCTCATGGGATTGCCAATATTTCTGGTGCTAGAAAGACGGGAGATCTCTGGATAAAGCACTTAGTTCTGAGGTCCTTCAGTAGTTTGGAATGGTTCTAGAAAAGCTACAGATGCCTCAGGGAAACTCAGAATCCAAAAGAAGGACCACGAGCTTAGACCATGAGTAAAGAAGGCAAGAAACTATTGTCTAATACCTTGATATTATCATCTTTTGACCTCTGTATAGCTCAATGATGCGGGAGTAACTCCTTGAGATGAAACAGATTTAATAGGTCCATCTTCAGAGAAACATAAAAGGCTAGAACTTGTTGTGAAACTTGTCCAGTTAAGTGGCCACAGTAATTCCCAAAACAACTGAGTCAGCGCTCATTCAAATGGAGGTAAAAGAGAGGTGCTGACTCTTAAGTTTCATTTAATCACATTAATACAATGAACTATTTGGAAAGTGTTGTAGTCTATGCTGCATAACAGGATGCATATCTACACTTGGCAAAATATTGTGTAATATGTATGAATTGTGTGCATTATTTGCTACTGCTTTGATAAGCAAGAGGCAAGACATTTCACAGGTGCCACAATTTCTCTGCCACTTTGAAAACATTCCATTCACTAGTGCCAATGTACTCAAAAGGATTGTCTTACTTGAGGTGAGTTTATGTACAATAAGCTAGAATAAATTCAAAGAAGGAAATTTGACAATAATAGACATCTAACATGAAAATTTTTATTTTTTAGCTTTGACTTCAGGTCTGTTCAAGATCTGAAAGTATTAGAGATGGTGTGATCCATTCTTATATTGCTTTCTACTTTGAAGGCTGTATGCATTTAATAAATACAAACATGAATTCTTAGATTAAATGTATCTTCTATTCACTGATTTAAATATTTGAACAATTATCTGTATTTGAATGCACACTAAGTATCTTTATCCCTGATGGTCAGGATAACTGAGAAATATCTAAAGGTAGGAGTAAAGACAAAAAAAAAAAAAAAATTAGAAAGCCATGTAAAAGAAAGATGAGGAAGAAAGGAGAAAGTAAACAGAAGGAAAAAAAGATTTTAAAAGAATTGTGAGTAGTCAGGATAAGGTGGAAAAAAATAATTGCTTACAATTTGTATAAGCAAGCATATCCATGTAGTACTTTGACATGGTACAAAAAATATAAAGTCAAAAATAAAGAGATGGAAATAAAAAGTTATATCTTAATTAAGAAAAACAACAGACAAAAATTATGGAAAATAAGAATACCCATGCCACAAATACACAAAGATAATTGACATATCCCCAGAGGGTACAACAATGCCTATATTTGAGAAGGTTCTGCATAACCTTGGCCAGCACTTCTATTTCCTGCCTTGTATAATCACAGAAGGCAATCAATGTTTTGTGATGATGAGGAGAATGATCTTTGAAGAACATAATTATGGGCTGTAAGTGTTTTCTGTGGAAACAAAATTATTATTCATGTCTGAGATTGTGTAAATATGCCTTAATTTTGGTCAATAACAATTTGAACTTTAAAAAGTAGAAGCCCAAAGTCCTCTTATAAATCACAAGTCAACTACAGGGACTAGTGTGTGAAAGCAAAGACATTCCTGATACTCTTTAGGAAAAAAATAAAAATAAAAATAAATGCCATTTAGTAGAAAATTATCTATTCTGTAATGACATGATTTGGCCTACCTCCATGTCAAAACTAGCTCACAACTTCAAAAGGCCACGTTAAAAGAGATTTAAGCAGAGCAAAGCTAAAGTAGTTTTCATCTACCAGGTCAGGTATAAAAATAATCACAATTCACATTACCTTAGAAAGACTGGCAGTCTGACACAAATTAATGGTGTGTCATGCACAGGTGGAAGGTAGATATAAACTGAGGAGAAAGGAGAAACCACATCAAGGGTACCTAAGGAAACGTAAGGCTTTGAAAGCTGTGAAAACATCTTACCCTCTCTCTCTTGTACCTTTAATTGTGAAGCAGCAATAAGTGTATTTTTGCCACATGTTTTAGAAAGAGAAAAATGACATGGTTATTTTGTTAAGTACTAACAGACTTACTTGTCTTTCAGAAAATCCACTACTCTTTTGAAGTCAGCCACGCAGTATTCTCTTTTCATTTCCATGAGCACAGTGTCAGAGGCAGACTGGACTGGTATGTGCAGAAAGGCATAGACTCTGGGGTGATTAAGGATTTTCGCCATTTCCTTGAAAAAAAAAGGAAGAAGAAAACATTAATCATTTTAATAAATCAGGGAATACTTACACTCAGATCAACACTCCCCAAGTGCAAGCAAATAAACATAGTTGAAAGCAGGCCTATCATCAAGGCTCTTAAAGTGAACGTCAATTGGCAATATTGTTTGATGACATTTTGAAACTTATTATTACTTTTGCAATGTTCCACTTAAGGATTACTTCCTACCTTCCACCATTGCTCTTAGGTGACAAAACAGAGGGGAAAAAAATCATGTAATGCATGAAGATTTTTAAATACTTCAGATTAAATACTATTCCTCACTCTTCTTTAAGAAATTCTATGCCCTGTCTTATTGTATTACCAAGAGAAACAACAATATTTAAGACAAACAGTTGAAGCCGCATAATCCTGTGTACTAGAAAAGAGAACCAAAAAACAGAACCTGTTGCTGTACAGTTGCTTCTGACTCACTGCGACCCTATAGGCCAGAGTAGAATTGCCCCCATAGGGTTTCCAAGGCTGTAAGTCTTTACAGAAGCAGTCTGACTCATCTTTCTCCTGTGGAGTGGCTGGTGGGTTCTGACTGCCACCCATTTGTTTAACAGCTGAGTGCTTTGCCACTGCACCACTAAGGCTCCTACTTGAAAAAAGAAAGTTTCTAAAATTTATGATAAGTCAACACTTTAAAAAGAATACGCTACAGGAGAAAAACGGCATTTATACTTCACTTGCTTCTGTTTCATATTTCAATTTTTCTTCAATTAATGAAATATTTTTTGAGTTTCTACTATGCACAAGGCATAGTTCCAGATAAGGGGTCAACTATGGTCATCAACCTTTAAGTTGCAGAACTCAAAAGAATGAAAAGAAGGGGAGAACAGGAAGAAAGATCTATCTTGGGAAGTTAAAGTGAACAAATTTGAGTGAAATAAATTAGGGAACTCAGAGTATATTTTATATTTCCTCCAAAGATAAAAAAAAAAAAAAAAAAAGTGACCTAAATAAAGCTGTGGTAGTTAAGCATTTATGCAAGCAATAAGGAAAATGATTAATTTAGCCTTCTGTACTGCTGCTGCGTCAGGTCAACAATTTGAGAGCAAGAAGGAACATGAGAGAGGGGGAGAGCAAGCAGAGAGTCCAATAGTGGTAAAAATGTCAAGAAAGGAGAGGCTCTTTAATGACTTGCATGTGTCCAGTGATTTTAGTTTTCAAAGTTCTGAACTTTCACATCTGTTATCTCATTTCATCCTTAGAACAGTATTTTGAGTGATCTTAGAGAGTCAAAGAACCAGCTAATTCCATACATACTGTCACCTTGAAGCTATTCAGGGGTCAGCTCTGCATATGGATCAACCATGCCCTTAGTTTCTCCATTTTCTTTCCATTGACTGTGAACATTAGCATTTTTTACCAAAGAGCCCAGTGGAAGAAAAGGGAGATTAACTCAAACTAGTCAACTGGTTAGTAGCAGAAACTGAACGTTGCTTTTAAAGTCTTTTGAGGAAGAAACTTGAAGAATTACCAAATAAAATTACTTGTGGATATCTTTTCTATATACATTGTCTACCAGGAATTAATAGGCATATCTTGTTATTAAAGACTACTCAACTGGAATTGGTGTTAAAGAATTTCTTGTTAAGCAGAAAAATAACTGGTAACACATAATCTAAATATTCCTTGTTATATTTCTTGGCTAGGTATTTAGTTGGTAGCCTTTTCCTACCCTGACTCAACACACATACTATATGTACGACTGTGTGAGGCAGAGCAACGGTTACCATTATGTACCATACATTAAATATGTTGCCATTTTGCTGATTCTCTGCTTTTCAGGTTTTTCACTCCTGAAAATCAAGATTTCCAAAAACTTTAAGAAAAACAATTGTACAAATATATATACATATTTTTTTAAATAAAGGGGCAGGCCTCACAGCTACAGGTAGCTTTCAATATACTACTGTGTGAGAAATGTCACCTTAACACACAGTTGTTGTCATTGTTGTCAGCTGCAACTGATTTATCTCCTACTCACAGTGACAGACCACTGTGATCCATAGGGTTTTCATTGGCTGATTTAAGGAAGCAGATTTCTTGATCTTTCCTTCTAGTCCAGTTTAGTCTAGAAGCTCCACTGAAACCTGTTTGGCATCATAGCAACGTTCAAGCCTCCATACTCTGTGAAATGAAACTTCACTCTCATTCCTGTTCCTTGCTTTGTTTCTCTAAAAGGGAAATAGTGATAATACCACATCATAGGGCTGTTAGCCCCAGGGTTACAGGTGAGGAGAGACAACTCAGGGACTCCCAAAGCAACAGGCCGGAAGAGCAGGAGAAAGGGGATTAAAAGCCAGGAACCCGGACAGAAGAGCAGTCAGCCCCAGGGATACATATGAGGAGAGACAACTCAGGGCGCCCAAAGCAGCAGGCCGGAAGAGCAGGAGAAAGGAGATTAAAAGCCAGCAAGCCACAGACAAGAGCAATCAGCCAAAGGGATTAGGTGAGGAGAGGATATGCAGGCCCGCCCAGAGCAGCAGGTCGGAAGAGCAGGAGAAAGGGGATAAAAGCCAGGAACCTGGACAGAAGACCAATCAGCCCCAGGGTTACAGGTGAGGAGAGACAACTCAGGGATGCCCAAAGCAGCAGGCGGGAAGAGCAGGAGAAAGGGGATTAAAAGCCAGGAAGCCAGA